TGAGGGCTGTTTCCTGTGGCCCTCCTGAAAGAAATACCACATGCTCCAGGACTTACATCCGAAGCAGTATCCCCTTCCCCTGCATGCCCACCTACCTCAGCTTGTCTGCACCCTGCAAAGTTGCTATTTCCTGCTTGCCTAGCTGTGGCCTTAGCAACCCAGACATCCAATGGGTTGCAACTATACCCTCTCCAACAAAGTCTAAATGGCAACTTATGGAGGTCTCCCCTCTTCCAAGTTTGTCCTTCTTTGATTACTTGCCCTCAGTCTTAGGGTACCCTCAGAATTCTCTGTACATCTTGTGGTTACTCTCCTATTATAGTTTAAGATTTTATTTTACCATTTCCCTACTTAACATACTGTGTAGTTTTTCTGGTTGGACTGACAGACACGTGAACTCCCAAGAGCTAAATAAGGTTGCTGTTAAATACCCTAGACTAGTGGCATTCACACCAGTGTACCAGAAGATATGCCACAGAGTACATGAATACACTGTTTTAGTGGAATCTATCCCCCAATCTTTATTTTTTTTTTATTTCTTTTCAGCGTAACAGTATTCATTGTTTTTGCACCACACCCAGTGCTCCATGCAATCCATGCCCTCTCTAATACCCACCACCTGGTTCCCCCAACCTCCCACCCCCTGCCCCTTCAAAACCCTCAGATTGTTTTTCAGAGTCCATAGTCTCTCATGGTTCACTTCCCCTTCCAATTTCCCTCAACTCCCTTTTCCTCTCCATCTCCCTTTGTCCTCCATGCTATTTGTTATGCTCCACAAATAAGTGAAACCATATGATAATTGACTCTCTCTGCTTGACTTATTTCACTCAGCATAATCTCTTCCAGTCCCGTCCATGTTGCTACAAAAGTTGGGTATTCATCCTTTCTGATGGAGGCATAATACTCCAGAGTGTATATGGACCACATTTTCCTTATCCATGCGTCCGTTGAAGGGATCTTGGTTCTTTCCACAGTTTGGCAACCGTGGCCATTGCTGCTATAAACATTGGGGTACAGATGGCCCTTCTTTTCACTCCAGCTGTATCTTTGGGGTAAATACCCAGGAGTGCAATTGCAGGGTCATAGGGAAGCTCTATTTTTAATTTTTTGAAGAATCTCCACACTGTTTTCCAAAGTTGCTGCACCAACTTGCATTCCCACCAACAGTGTAAGAGGGATTCCCTTTCTCCACATCCTCTCCAACACACGTTGTTTCCTGTTTTGCTAATTTTGGCCATTCTATCTGGTGTAAGGTGGTATCTCAATGTGGTTTTGATTTGAATCTCCCTGATGGCTAGTGATGATGAACATTTTTTCATGTGTCTGATAGCCATTTGTATGTCTTCATTGGAGAAGTGTCTGTTCATATCTTCTGCCCATTTTTTTATATGATTGTTTTGTGTGTGTTGAGTTTGAGGAGTTCTTTATAGATCCTGGATATCAACTTTTTCTCTGTACTGTCATTTGCAAATATCTTCTCCCATTCCGTGGGTTGCCTCTCCCAATCTTTAATTTCCTAGAACTTCTAGTCATAGGTTTGAGAAGTGTCCTTGAATGTTTATGCAGATTTCTCCATCCCCACGAATTCTTTCAGAACAGCACCTACCCATCCCGAATGTTACTTCAGTAAATGAGTCAAATCAGTGATCGTGCTGAGTCCCCTTCAGTAATTAATGAAATCACAGTAAACTTGTATTGGATTGGTATTTCCCTATCACATATAGTTCCAGTAAGAGAGGAGTGGTTTTAGAAATAGGGTACTTTGGCTGGTGTCAGAATATTCAGATTTCATATATGCTGCAGAATGGGTTTGTCAGGGTGACCCTACATCATGTGTCTCCTGATTATTATCAAACAATGCCTCCTTAAGAAGGAGGGCCTACTTAACAGTCAATTCTTCTTTCTTAAGATATACCACTGAAATGTTTACCAAGACTATCAAACATTATTAGATGAAGTGTGTAAAACCCACAAACAAAAATTTTAAGTAATTTCCTTCAGTTCAAGAATAAACTTAACAAATCACATTAAGAAAAATTTATTTCGATTATTTAATCCTCATCTTATTTTAGCTTATAAAATGTTGTAACTTCGGGGCGCCTGGGTGGCTCAGTGGGTTAAAGCCTCTGCCTTCAGCTCAGGTCATGGTCCCAGAGTCCTGGGATCGAGCCCCGCGCATCGGGCTCTCTGCTCAGCAGGGAGCCTGCTTTCTCTTCTCTCTCTGCCTGCCTCTCTGCCTACCTGCGATCTCTGTCAAATAAACAAATAAATAAATCTTAAAAAAAAAAAATGTTGTAACTTTTACACCTGTTAACAGCAGCAAAAATTACAGAATACTGCCATGCAAGCTGGTTTCATAGTACATTTTCTCCTACATTAAATATTGAAGCAGTCCTAAGATTTACATAAGTAGGTTTATTTGATGTTTTACATGGCTCTTAATTGTTCCTAAAAGTCCAATAACATTGTTTGATTCATGTATGCATGCACATTTACTGAAGCAGTATCATGCTTTTACCACACTCCTCACTTCATTATTTATTTATTTTTAAAAAAATATTTAATTTATTTATTTGAGAGAGACACAGCGAGAGAGGGAACACAAGCAGGGTGAGCGGGAGAGGGAGAAGCAGGCTTCCCGCCAAGCAGGGAGCTGAATTCGGAGCTTAATCCCAGCACCCTGGGATCATGACCTGAGCAGAAGGCAGATGCTTAATGATTGAGCCACGCAGGTGTCCCCTCACGTCCTGATTTATTATTCTAACTACACATTACCTTAGTTTATTACAAATCCAGTAATGACAAACAGCATTGCCATGTTATTTTAATAATGTGCTATTAAAATAAATTATATATTTGTTATATATGATTTTAATTTTGACTTACAGCTTTTACAAGTAGGATATTTTCAGAACTTATATCTATATAGAAATGCAAGATATTTTACTGGTAAGATATGTTCCATAATTTATTTCTCAATGGTTTGCATAATTTTCTTAAGTGCGAATTAATACATTTACTTGAGTTGGAAAACAAAAGTTAGGGAGTAAGAATGATTTGGCTGATGGGCTTGAATAATAAAAACTGTGTTTGCCGATTTAGTTATATGTTAAGGGGTGGGGGAATGTGCAAAATGGGTAAAGGGGAGTGGGAGATTAGGGTTTCCTGTCATGGAATGAACAAGTCACAGGGATAAAAGGTATAGCACAGGGAATATAGTCAACGGTATTATAACAGTATTGTATGGTGACAGATAAGAGTTACAACTGTGGTGAGCACAGCATAATATGTAGTCTTGTTGAACCACTGTACTGCACATGGGAAACTAATGTAACATTGTGTCAAGTGTATTAAAAAAAGTTGAATGTCAAGGCTTTTCCATACATTTACTACACTAAAATCTGTAACTTCAAGGTTTTTTGACAAAAGAGGATGGGAATAAAAAGCACTTTATCAAATGGCATCTTAGACTAAGGCTTGTTAAAAATCTTATTTTTTCAACCTCTTTCATTATACTGACTTAAATAAAGTATCTCTAACTGAAAGACCAGCATACAAATTACTGGGCATCTGACACTTACTGGTCAGATCTTTTTGGTGTGTTGCTTGTACAATGAAACACTCACTGCTTCAATGCCTGGTAACAGAACCTATATGAGTCAGCACTTGTCAATTCTTTGCTTTCAATAAAATTAGGTGATAAATCATTAAATATAATTTGATGATAGAGCACTCTGTGATTTTTGGGCTAATAATATTACTTGAAAGAAGTTTAAAGGACTGAATGCCATTACTATATTAACTGTCTCTACTCCGAACTACTTATTTATCATAAAAAGGTTTTTCAGAACTTATATCTACATACAAATGCAAGATAGAATACATCTGATTTTGAATCCTATTTCGTTCTAGTAATAAGTACTATTCAACCTAGGATATCTGAAATATTTTAAAATTTCTCTTATAAAGACATATGGTAGGATGATCAATAAAAGAACAGTAAGATAAAAATATATTAAGACAAAACCATGTGGGAAAAGTAGGTCAATTATGATTATAGTAACAATTATTGCATTTGAGTTGTGTGAAGCAATATAATAGGCACAGTACACATTTTTTCCTCAACTGGACTGTAGAGCAATCTTAAGTGTTAGGAATTCTTATTACACTTTATAGACACATTCTTGAAGTTCAGCAAGGTTTAATAACTTACCTGGAGTCACTTAAGGGACTACTGTTAGGCTTCTATTTGCCAGTGAGAAATGAAGGAGTGAAATCTACCACAAGAAAATGTAACTCTGGAGATCTTTTATAAAATGTTATTTTCATAGTGTGTCTCTATAATGTACAGTACACCAAACACCTAATTTGGTAATCTGTTTTTTCTTTCCACTTCCTGTTTTAGGGTTAGCAATGATCTCTGTCATAAAAAATAAATCTTTAGAAACCAAGTTTTTAAAGGCCATGATATAGACCATAGCATGGATCTGGCATTTTCTTTTAAAAAAGAGAGAGAGAGAAAGAAAAAAAAAATTTCAACTTCTTTCTCTCATGACATTAGGTCCCTTGTCAATTTGCACCAGCATGTTGTGAGCTTGGGCTGTGGGTTCAGGTAAAAACCATGTGAGAGAGAAGCCGCCTGAGCCACGACTGACACCATGGCCTAAAACAGGTGTCTTAAACATTAAGCCCTGGCATCCTCATCTAAACCTGGGAGCGACAATTGCGCTGACCTCTCAGCACCACTGGGGGACAAACAGACTATATACACAAAGGGACAGAATAATATCTGGCATAGTGAGCTTGATAAAAATGATTAAGAATACAGAACAATATCCCTGGCACATAAATCTCTGGTCATATTACCAATTAACTGTTTTGGATAAATTCCTAGAAGTGTAATAAATAGCTTAGAGTGTATGACCATTTAAAAGGTCATTATATTCTACCAAACAATTTTCCAAAAAAGTGGACCTATGTGTATTAGAGAAGGAGCTCACCTTTTGGGTCGAGGAAGGCCCATAGGGGTAAGATTAGGGTCTGGCTTAGGAATGGTTTTCCGGATACGAATCTGTGAGACTTTCTTTGGCCTCTTCTCTGGCTCAGCCTATTTTTAAAGATTAAGAAGAAAGACGGTCAAGTTGTAAGACATTTTAAATACATAAAGTCCTTTTTCTTGACACTCTAAGATTTTGCTTCCTCAGTTTATAGATGACTCTAACTCATAGTTTATGACAAAGCTCTACTTACTCCTGCTGACAGTGTTCTCAGCAACCACTCCCTTTATATTATTAGAAGAGAATCCGTACATTCAGCTCAGATATTGAGATTAGCAATATGAAAGCCTGTTAACTGTTGGAGACAGAGAGAGATTGCAAAATTGAAGAATACCATTGTTCACTCATCTTTGAATGCACGAAGCAGCTCTTTGGTCTAATACTCTAAATACTGTTAAATGCTATCATCGAAAAAAAGGGACCTGGAAAACAATGCAGATTCAGAGATCCAGAGTAGCCTTCAGTGGCCAAGGAGAAAAACCCCTGCTTTGGTAATCTCCAGCACTCAGCTGAAGCTAACAGTGATAAGCAAAGACACCCAGGGGCCTGTGTACCCGTCATGTGATCTGCGGACCTCAATGGATGCTTCCAGTACTGCCCCCGACTCTATCAGCTCTTTACATTTACCTCCTTCTCTTCTGGAGGGCTGCTCTGTGGATGGGGGCATGACGCTGCCACACTATCCAGCTCATCAAATTCAGGAACCTGGAACTCGGAGGCTGAAAGCAGGAGCTTGCTGACAGCTGAGTCTGTTACCAAGCAAGACTTTGGTACCAAGGCAGGGAATGGAGGTTCTAGTCTAGCACCATGGAAAGAAAAACGGAGAAGGAACATATGAGACAGGTTTTGCTTTCTACCTGGGCAAATACAACTCCTTAACATCAGACTAAGGTTGAAGATCTTCCCTTTTTCTAGCAATGATGTTTCCAGCCAAGGGATTCTCTAGTTATTTCTGGACACACCCTGTGTCTACATACTTAAAAAAATTATGTGGGGGCGCCTGGGTGGCTCAGTGGGTTAAAGCCTCTGCCTTTGGCTCAGGTCATGATCCCAGGGTCCTGGGATCGAGCCCCACATCGGGCTGTCTGCTCCGCAGGGAGCCTCCTTCCTCTTCTCTCTCTCTCTGCCTGCCTCTCTGCCTACTTGTGATCTCCATCTGTCAAATAAATAAATAAAATCTTTGAAAAAAAAAATTATGTGGATGTGGCCAATCCTTTCCTTGGTGTAGAACAGTTTTTTTTTTTTTTTAAGATTTTATTTATTTATTTGACAGATATCACAAGTAGGCAGAGAGGCAGGCAGAGACAGAGAGAGGGGGAAGCAGGCTCCCCGCTGAGCAGAAAGCCAGATGCGGGGCTCGATCCCAGGACCCCGGGACCATGACCTGAGCCGAAGGCAGAGGCTTTAACCCACTGAGCCACCCAGGCACCCCTAGAACAGTTTTATAAGGAAAAATATAAAAAGGAACAGACTCTTTGGAGGAAAAAGGCATTTAGTGAACTGAACAAAAGAACTGTGCTCAGATAAGATCAATCCCATCAAGGCTATGAAGATGGCTCTATGACCAAGAGACAGCTTGACAGGGAATCTGTGGTTTAATGAGCTGGCTAATGATTTTGACTTTTTTTTCAGTAAATGGTACTGATTACACATCCTTAGGTGCTACTTATGATAAAAGATATCTGAATCTCAGATCACGTTTGGAAGGAAAAGATGTCAGAATCATGCTGTGCTCGATGTACACCATCTGGCAGCGCGTCCTCTCAGGTGCTGTGTTTGCTTGCACATTCACTCTTTCCTTGGTCTCCCACACATGCACACACATTCGTTGCAAGCCCTCTGTACCAGGTGCTGCTGGAGGCTTACCTCATCTGACTGCCACTGGTGTTATAAGAAGCTTCCATGCCTGGAAGAGGCACATATGGTAACATGGTGTGGCTGAGGTGGAGCAAAAGTACAAAAGCAACAGGTTAGGGCAGTGGAACAACAGGAAAGTTTTGATGCCACTGTGGTACTCAAAGGTTTTGATGCCCCTGATGGCACATGATATGCAATTAGGCCCCAGGAAGATAAGAAATGTCAGTCACTCAGAAAGAAGAAAAACAGCCTGCAGTCATGAGAATTACATTTGCCTGCCCACCATTGGAATGGAGGCAGGCTGATGGGAAGATATTTTCTAACTTATATGGGAAGAAAATAGAGAGAGTAACAAAGAGAGGACAATAAGAGAATGGAGGGGAACAAGGATGACTCTGAGTCTTACACCTTCTGTTGTTAAATATATATCTCAAAAGGTTTCAAAAAATGATTCACAGATAAAAAATCTTATATTATTCTTTTTATTAATGCTATTAAAATAAAATCTAATTTTTAAAAAAAGATTTTATTTATTTGACAGAGAGAGAGAGAGAGATCACAAGTAGGCAGAGAGGCAGGCAGAGAGAGAAAGGGGAAAGCAGGTTCCTTGCTGAGCAGAAAGTCTGATGCTGGCCTTGATCCCATGACCCTGGGACAGTGACCTGAGCCGAAGGCAGAGGCTTAACCCACTGAGCCACCCAGGCACCCAAAATAAAATCTAATTTCTATACCCTTAGAGAAGATTATGAAGAAACCTTGCTTTCTTTAAAGCCAAGTTCCACAGAAAACATGGTTATGTAGAAGAAAACCACTAACAGGGTTAGCTCCTTTGTAATTAAGCTTTTATTTTTATAAATGAAGCAATGGTATTCATCACTTATAGATACATCAATACGTGATGGTGGAAAGCTTTTTGTGCCTCTCAAAGTAAAACCTTTATCAGTTTCTACTGAATTTGGAACACAGTACAGGTTTAGTTAACGAGGTGTTTGTATGGCCGTAAAACAATTCATCTTCTCTTAGAAGTAGATTTGTTCAATGTCTAGAAAATAAAGATAATTCAGATTTTTAGAAGGTTTAGCACTAATTCAGGATTCCTTGACAGGTACTGATAAAATGCAGTGCATTTTTTGTGACTACACTATACGAACATTTTCCTATTAACTACAAGAGGCAGGGTGTATACTGGAAAAGGAGCAGACCAAATCAGAAATCAGGAGACCCTGTGTCCAGGTCTAGTTCAGCTGAAACACTAACCTGATCTGGGTTAGAAAAAACCATGTGCCTCAAGATCATCATCTATAAAAAAGGCGAAAGAGAGGCCCATTCAACCTATATTATTGAGTGCTTAAGGTTCAAATAAAATCTTATGGGGGTGCCTGGCTGGCTCAGTCAGAAGAGCAGGCAAGCTCTTGGTCTTAGGGTCGTGAGTTCAAGCCCCACACTGGGTGTAGATTAAATAAATAAAACTTAAAAAAAAAAAAACCCTATGGGCTGCCTGGGTGGCTCAGTTGGTTGAGCATCTGCCTTTGGCTTGGGTCATGATCCCTGGGGTCCAGGGACTGAGGCCCACATTGGGCTCCATGCTCAGCAGGAGCATGCTACTGCCTCTCCCTCTGCTGCCTCACCCTGCTTGTGCACTTGCTCTCTCTCTGTCAAATTAAAAAAAAAAAAAAAAAAAGATCCTACAAAAACAAATTAATTTAACATTTGTTAAGTCCTGCTTTCTTGGATTACCCAATTTATCATGCTTAATATTTCTAAGTGTGTTCAGAAAAACAGCAAACTTCTAAACTTAAAGTCAAGGCATATGATGTTAAGGCACTTCTAGAACCAACAAGAAGGGAAAGTCCCTACAAACAGCCCCCACCCCCACATTACACTTGAACTGAACTAAAATAAAACAAAGTAAAATGCTAGACAAAGGAAGGGAGGGAGAGAAAAAATATCCCACACCAGGAAACAGAAGTCAGGAGGGAAAAGAGTTCTGGATGAAGGAAAAGGCCAAAGGCCACACATCTTCACATGATACAACAAAGAACTGGCCTGCATTCGAACCTCAGGCATGAACATAGCGTAGAGAAGGTACAATTTAAAGCTGTGTGTCAAAAATAAATAAATAAAGCTACATGTCAGACACTGAGCAAAGTGTGGTTATGAGATCATAGAGGCATTACTCACAAACCAGACAAAATAAAAGGAGTACACGATCATTTAAAACAATCTGAGTCAGGGGTGCCTGGGTGGCTCAGTCAGTTAAGAGTCTGCCTTTGGCTCAGGTCACCATCTCAGGGTCCTGGGATTGAGCCCCGTGTCAGGCTCCCTACTCAGTGCGGAGTCTGCTTCTCTCTCCCTCTGCCCTCCTGCTTGTGCTCTCTCTCTCTTGCTATCGCTCTTTCTCTCAAATAAATAAATAAAATCTTTGAAAAAAGTTAAATAAAAAAATAAAACAATTTGATTCGTTGCAGTGCATTTTTTGTGACTACACTATACGAACATTTTCCTATTAACTACAAGACAAGTACTTAGAAGAGCATTCATCTCTCAATTTCCATCAGCCACATTCAGGTTCTGGGGTGTTTTTCTGAAACCCTTTGATTTAGTTAGTTTTCTGCTAAGACGCTCAGGGAACTTTGAAATATACGCCAGATAGCATTTTAGTGACACAGAATGATTCTGCACAGAGATTGCATAGACACACAAAAAACGAGGCCTCTTCTAGGCTATTTATAATTTTAAGGCTTTGATGGTGCTGAGTTTTTAAATTATAGCAACGATGAAGGCTAATTAAAAAAATGTTCAGTTTCTGTTGAGGGATTACAAATAGGATTTATTATGTCTGAGACAGATCTTTGGGAATTTAACTCTCAAATTCTTTTTCCTCTTTATAAGGAGGTAAAATGAGGGGCACCTGGGAAGCTCAGTCGGTTAAGTGTCCAAATCTCAATTTCAGCTCAGGTCATGATCTCAGGGTTGTGGGACTGATCCCCGTGTACGGACTGGGATCAGCAGGGAGTATGCTTAAGATTCTCTCTCCATCTCCCTCTTGCCCCAACTCCCTCTCTAAAATAAATAAATGAAATCTAAAAAAAAAAAAGAAAAAAAAAGAAGGTAAAATGATATTGGTGAAATTATTTACAACTATTCTAAGTGGTCAAACCCCTCTTCTCTGGCTCACTTAAAATTCTATAAATTGTACAACTATAGTATGTAATGTCAATCTTTGAAGCCTCTCTGCTCCAGGGAGAAATCCAAAGGTTTGTGAACTAGATATGGTGATGCCTACATAATTAGTTTATTTACTTAAGAAGTACTTATTCTGAGGGTGCCTGGGTGGCTCAGTCGGTTAAGTTGTCTGCCTTCAGCCCAGTTCATGATCCCAGAGTCTTGGGACCGAGCCCTGCGTTGGGCTCTCTGCTCAGTGGGGAGCCTGCTTCTCCCTTCCCTTCTGCCTGCTGCTCCCTATGCGGTGCTCTCTCTGTGTCAAATAAATAAATAACATCTTAAGAAAAAAAAAAGTACTTACTCTGTATCCTTTATACTCTGTATCAAACATCAAATCAGTTGCTGACTGAATAACACTTTTTCAGTAAGATATAGTTAGAAGCCATTGTTTGTCACAATTTTCTTTTTAAAAAGATTTTATTTATCTGACACAGAGAGAGAGAGAGAGAGATCACAAGTAGGCAGAGAGGCTGGCAGAGAGAAAGGGTGAAGCAGGCTCCCTGCTGAGCAGAGAACCCGACACAGGGCTCGATCCCAGGATCCTGTGATCATGACCTGAGCCTAAGGCAAAAGCTTAACCCACTGAGCCACCCAGGTGCCCCTGTTTGTCACTATTTTTAAGTCTTTGACCTGTAATGGTGTTTGCTCTTTGCAAGGCAGGGGCATGGATAGAAGAGATTCAAAAAATTTGATGGTTTGCGAATGACATGGACAGAACATAGAATGGTAAAAATACTTAAGACTTACAGGTACATTTTCTCAGCAGAGATTTGTCAAGGTAAACAGAAAATGTAGACACAAGAACTCTAAATAGCCTTGCATTTCCAGCCCCCTCAACTTTCCCCAGAGAGTGAAAAGCAAACATGGATTTTACCTGCTCGTGGTGCTCAGAGTTGGCTGCTGCTTGCTGTGAGTGGAATGAAGAGTAGAGATTTCGAAGGGGCAGGCAGAAGGCCCATGCTGGCTCCAAATGGAAAGCACTCGGCCCACCGAGTACGGAAGAGAACAGAAGACCTTGTCTGCTATGGAGGCTGGAGATCTTAACCCTTTTAAGCCCTGTGTAAACTGGGTCATGAAGAGCCTCTGCATGGTAGGCATGTGACTAGAGAAGCTCCGTTTTTTTGTCCAGATTCGGTAACATCCAGGAGAACAAAGTGCTAGAAGTGTGTGAAGGCCAAGGACAGAGCAGCCTGCTCTGGTCTGGACTATGGCAGTGCCTCCATAGTCTTGGAGAAGACCTGGAGACTGTGAAGGAGCCTGGGCACATGCCTGACCATGGAGGCCAGTGTCTTCCCTGAATGTGGCCATCCCAGGACAACTGTGGGACAAGAAAAAAGAAAAGGTCCACTTGGGAGGTTGAGACAGGCACCTGGGGGCCTCTCCTAAGGCGAGCCTGGCTGGAGCACAGTGCTCAGGAAAAGTCCTTGGGGACTCGGTCATGCACTCAGAGCCCGATTTCATGTGAAAAGATACCGGGAAAACTTCCGAACCAAACAGCAGTGATGGCACCTTGTTGCTCAAATCTATGAAGCTCATTTTGATGGCTTCGAGTGAATAAAGTGTCAAGGACTTACTGTTAGGTCTCTTATCCCATCCACCAGCTGCCAAATAGGGATTCAGCTGCATTGTATTGTATGAAAATCCATCCAGAAGCCTTTTGTATCTGAGCCGCTTGTAGCTTTTAGCCACTGGAAGAAGTTCAGAGGAACACCGCCGATATCTTAGTTTCTGGGTCTTTGTGGCTGGGACCAGTTTGGAGGCAAGAATGGACAGCTTGCTAAGTAAGGCTGATTCTTTGGTAGGCTTCCTAACATTCAGGCTCCTCAAGGGATGGCATGGAATCGCCTTCTGCTTTGGTATGTGGCTCGTTAAGCTCCTGGTTGGTTCTCTTTCAGGTTCCAATTGTGCAGGTGCAGGCACGGCACATGAACTGAGAAATCTGTGTGCTTTTGTGGGGACGGTTTCAGAGGAACTCTTGAAAAAGGCAGAGCTTCTGATTTTACTTATTTTTTTCCCCATGGTGACTTGCTCCTGATAGGAAACTTTCTTACATGTTCGATGGGGCTGCTTCTTTAAGGGAAGCACTCTTTTCTGATATGATGTGTTCCCAAAGGCACCGCGTATTTCATCACACCCAGCAAAATCGGGGTCTTGTGCTTTCTGAGGGGCACCATGAAGGCAAGGACCTGTGCACGACTCCATGGCCCTTTTTAATGGATGACACAAGCTTTCCTCCTTTGGATCTTCCAACTTCTGGAACTGTGCAGCTCTGCTGCCCTGGGCCAGCTTTGCTAGGGTGATTTCCTTCATCATGGTGGACCCACTTCTGCAATCTTTAGCTTGGTTCTTATCTTGCAACTCATCTGATAACATGTTAGATGATGTGTATTGTTCCAATATCGTGTGTACTTCTTTTTGATGTATATATTCCTCTTCATTCTGCAACATGTAGTCCAAAGCCCTCTGCCTTTGCTGCTCTTCATCACCAAGCATCTTCTGGGACTTAGACGGGGTCTCTCTTATTTTATCACCACGACCAGCTTCTCTGGTAATCATCTCCTCAGACTCTACGCTGACAGTTAAGTGACCCACGGGTCCCCTCCGACGTCCTTCAGTTTTTTCTCCTCTCAATTTAGTTCCTGTTTCTATTGTCAAAGGCAAATTTTGCACACCAATGTCTATTCTGACTCCTTCACTAGAATTACTCCCATCTCCTGGTGCTCTTTCCTTCGTCTCAAGCAGGACGGTGTGATGCCCCACGTTTTCACAAAGCATTTCACCATCTTTTGGTTTAAAAAGATTTTCCAGGTGAGTTTCTTCACTATTAACGTTACTTTCCGAATTTTTGTGAGAAGACAGATACGAAGGCATTATCTCAATGGATTTCAGGCTCCCTATGGGAGCAGGGTTCTCATCTGGACATCCAGAAGACAGCAACTCTTTCGAGGAAATTCCAAAGGTACTGTCCTTATCAAAATCAGAATTTATTTCCAGTCTTGATCCTTTAATCATTCCTTGTGTTTCTCTAAGAGATGTTTCTTTAACTTGCTCTTCATGATGAATATAATTTAAGGACACATTTACTCTATCCAGTGTTCTTGTATTTGGTTCATGATCTGCAACAGACTCTATATCATGGGCACAAGAGTCTGGACACACCTCCATTTCACAATCTTTTAATGATCTGCTTACTTTCTCTTCACATGATTTTTTAATTTCCAGAGGCTGCCCTGTAGAGGACGTAGCATCTGGGAAATCTGAGTCCTGGCCAATCATTCCGATAAATGCAGCATTCAGTTCACCTCTCTGAGACAGAGTACCCACCAAGGTTTCCTGTAACATCAGTCTATCTTGCCCTGCACCACTATCAAGGGTACTAGATGCTCTGAAGTCTAACATGCCTTCTGTAGACTTTTTACTGCAGTTCGTGTAGATGATGTCTATCATGTCATCTGCGGACTCCTCACTACCAGAAATACGTTGAGAGTCTCCTTTCAAACTGCCTTTCTTTGAACTACCACTGGACAATGGGTTGTTACTGGCTGAACCAACTAGCAGATCCTTTTGGTTGTGGCTTACGTCTGTGTTAGGTGCTATGACAGTCTCTCTCTCTTCACCATCTAGTGTCTCCTTAGCTGGTTTATCTTCATTTTTGCATTCATCTGGTCCATTTTGATTACACTGGCAATTAAGGACTTCATCTCCTTTCTGATCAAGAGTTTCAACTGCTTGGCTCCTGTTTTTGAAACTGGAGAACATAATAGTAGGAGACTGGTCCAACAATTTTTCAGGGCTTGGAATGTTTGCAGGTACGTTTAGTTCTGGTGTGGCACACTCAGAGATGTTATACTTGCAAAACACAGTCTCTTTAGGTACATCCCGTTCCTTTCCTTCTAGCCATTCCTCACTGGGCTGCATGTGACTAGTAGGGGGAATGGCCTTGTCTAAAGCTTCACTATTTAACATGCCGGCTGCCATTCTGTTTCTCATCTTATCTCCTTTAGTTTCTTCCCCAGAAAGTTCACTTCCCTCCGAAGTATAACTCACTTTGTGGGTGCTACTTTCTGTGGAGTCTTCTCTTCCTTGCGAGTGGTGACTGCTGAGCTGAAATGCATCTTCACACTTGGTTATCAAAGAGTTTTCAACTTTTGTGATGATTCTGTGGGACTCAAAAGCAGCACAAGCAGAACACATACTCTTTTTTTGTGCATTTTTACTTACATGAGGACAGCTAGAGAGATCCTGAGATTGAACACTTTGATATTCCCTAACAGTGACCTCTTGAGGCAAGCCTGCTGCTTCTTTCTTCCTTGAGGGAAGTCTGGAATGTAGATCAACTATTCCAGAATCAGTCACTTTTTTTCTTTCTAGGCTTCCTGGTTTGATGTTTAAGGTGGGATTGTTTGAAGAGGCACCACAAGTTTTGTCACCTGATGGAGAGACATCTTTCATTTTTGTCTTCATGGAAATGGTTTGGGTATCAGCAATGACATCTGCTCCATCCTCTAATGGAGGGTGATGGCTCTGTTGGGAATCCTCGCTTGTTGCTAAAGGCATCTTTTTTCGAGCTGGCAACTTAGCGTGGTCTTGAGAATTAAGGGGCACTTGATTTAAAACACATTCACTTTCTATTTTGTTTACAACCAGTTCATTGGTACAAGGAAGTTCATTCATCTCACAGGCAATGTTCTGTTCATCTAAATGTGAACTATCGTCCTGTGCGGTCTGTATAGCTTGTTCTGACTTGGGTTTGTAATCAAATTCTAGGGATGGTGGTAACTGAGCAGTATCTTTCTTGGGTTTTGACACCTCATTCACAGGACTTATCTGGTCCTCACGCATTAAACTCACAAGGGATTTTCTTTCAATCAGAAATTCATTATATGATGCTTCACTTAACTGGGTGTCGCCTTCCAGATTTCTCTGGGAGCGGAATGAGTTAGAGTCTTTACTGTAAATCTTTTCAGTTATCGTACTGGGCTCTATAGTGGTTGTCTGTTCTGGCTCTTTAATCGGCATTAAGGAGGAAAAGCTGCTCTCTTCAGAGTGTTTGCCTAAATGGCTCATATCAGTAGAAGTTTCTCTATGGTCCTCATGGTTTTTCAAGCTATCTTGAATGTCTAGAGTGATTTTCAGATCATTTTTTTTAAACATTTGTTCCGTGGCTTCAGTGAAAGAACCGGGCATTGAAGAACTAGAGCTGTCTGTCTGGATACTGCCTTGAACACAAGAGTTACCATGGATATTCTCTTTGCGGGAGGCAACAGTCTCTTTTTCACCAGGACAGTGACTGCTAGCACCCTCTTCTGGTTGCCTGGCGTTAACAAGAAAGAGTTCCCCTCTTTCACTCCTGGGGTTCAAAAACTGTTCATTTTCTTCTCTAGTAGCCACGTTCTTGCTTTGATCGTCCCCATCAAAACAGGAACTGCCTGTCTTTTCAGCAGATCCCTTTGGCAAGCCATCATCTTTAAAACCACATGTTTCTAAGGATGGTGTTCTGGATTGTGAACCAGACAAACTTGAAGAGAAATAGGAAATGCCAGAGTTTTCTCCTAAGGGTTCTGTAACAACTACATTTCTTGTGGCTTTGGGACTGCCATGAGAAGAACTGTGTTTTTCATTATGGTGGCTGAGAATCTGTTGGTGATTGTCATCTGCTTCACAGACAAGGTTTAACTTACACACCTCTTCCTTCCCACTGTCCACTTTGGAAATGGCACTGCTCCCTGGTAACAATGACAACCAAGAAGGACAAGTTTTTAATTCTTCACATTCTTTTTCTTTAGAAGTTGCTTCTGTTAATCCAGGGTCCACAAAGGTTAAAGGCTCTAGGGAAACTAATGTGCTGGTTTCTGAAACCTCACCACTGGCCATGATTTTGTCTATTTCTGGGTATTCGTTGAACCCAGCTGAGAGACCTTTACTCACATTGCCATTCTTGTGTCCTTCATTATAATCCGTCTTAGTACCATTGACCTTTATACCTTGTACTTCAGTAGATTTTAGAAGAGTTCCAGTTGTAATTTGTACATTTCCTTCTGCACGAGAGAAATAAATCCAAATCAGTATGCAATTAAAAAAAAACTTAGCTACACATTCATAAATTTAATTATGTGACCAATAGCAACAAAAAAGACCCAACTCAAAAAGCAAATTATAAAATTAGTGCATTGTACCACTGGTTTTGTTCTTTTATGCAAAATACGACACAGGGCCAAAAGTATACTCACCTAATTTTGAACAACTGCCTTTCTCTAAGTATTACTTATTTAAATGTACTTACTTAGCTGGACAATTGAATATGGAGACATACATGTAATCCAGAGTCTTAAGAAGCTTCTATTTTAAAACATTAATAAAGCAGACCCACAATACAACATCTCATTATTCAATGAGCATCTTCTTATTACTTGAATAAAAATGAGTCAAAAATAAATTACCTCTTTGTAAAAGAAGTTTTACACAAAACTATGTAAAAGATAAATGTATAAGTTGAATATTAGTTTTGAACTGAATTACTTAGAGTAACTGCTTCCCTACAAGACTAGTTATGAAGCTGAGTGACAGATACATGTGTGTTTAGTATACTCGCCACTTTTCAATAAATTAAAAATTTTCTATTATGAAACATTAAAAAACAAAAAACCTTTTTAAGCAGAAGGTAAATGCAATTCATAAAGAAGTATTACTATACAGTGTCCCTGAAATCCTAGGTAAAAGACGCAGTATAAACAAGTTCCCCAAACTTGTTAATATACAAAAAGTTTTTCATCCTTACTTTCTTTTTAGAAAACACAGATATATTCATACATGTGCATATATGTATATGTATATTTGCATGCACACATATATATAACAAAATACGAGCCCTAAACAGATAAAGCTAAAACCAAATCAACCTAAAGATCTAATTCTCACTAGAATATAAACTCCATAAGTAAGGATCATGTTTGTCTTGGTCTCTTCCTTTCCCTATTGCCCAGCATAATACCCAGTACAAAATAGCATTCAATAAATCTGGGAATTAATAAATGAATAGTTAGGTCAAATCAACAAATGCTATGAATACTGTCTTTCTAGAGCTTCCCTATCCATTTCTCAACTGGTACTGAGAGCAGCAATTCTGAGAGAAAGAACAGCAACTCTGAAGGCAGGCGGGCTCTGTGATCTTACTTACCTCTCTGAGTTTCAGTTTCCTCCTCTGAAAAAGAGGGTATGAAATATACTTACCTCAATGCTACTTTGAGGATTAAATTAAACAATACATGTAAAACACCACCTGGTACAGTGCCTGCCATTTAAAGAAAAAGTGCTTTTCCTTTGTTCTGCTTTCTTTCTTATCTTACTGGACCTGAGAACAGTTAAAATGATAAACTTAATAACTATGCTAGGACAGGACACAGTGTTTAAAAATACTGGGAGTCAACAAATACTAGATGGATAAATACATACTGGATTCCACAAGCCTGCACAAATTCCAATTATTGACGTATTATGGCCTTGAAATCCTAATGGCCCACACAGTAGTAATCTTTTTGAAACTAGCTTACTTTCCACATCATAGCAGATAACCCTACCTATTCATGAATTTCTAAGTGCATTTACCCCAAATGGTTTAGTGTATCTCTTCACTGGACGGTATGACATTAAGCCATTCCTGTAAATTCCGGTCCTTTCCACGCTGGTCTAGCACCATCCTAGTCAAATCCTTCGTTTTATCTGCTCAGGAAAACTGCAAAACTCTTCACCCATCCCCAATCTATTCACTACTGTGCAAGGCACTTAAGGCAAGATTCCACCTCAGAGCCCTTACCTGCTAGAAGAACACCTGTTCTCAACTTAGCTAAGAATCTTAGGGGCAAGCAGGGGAACAGCTGCTTCCCAGGTGGTATTAACACTGAAGGCTGGGAAACAGGGGTTGCGTACAGCTTGAAAGCAAAAGGATACTCTACCAATCTTTTACTTGATTATAATTAACCACGTTGACTTGGAAATGTCAAAGAATTTTAAAGGAGAGTTTGAGGCAATTATGTTTATTAGAAAGTTCTCTAAAGGCTATGGAACACTGACCCAGTCCTCTCCTTTAATATGGGGAGAAAGATGGTATCCCCTTGCAGGACTTGTAAAGGTGAGTCAAGTGCCAAGTTCACACTTGGTTAGGGCTAGGAACTCCTTTGGGTTTCCACTTCCTTGTACAGGATCTCTACTAAAACTTCAGTGATACTGTTTTTCAAATATTTGTTTAATATATCACCTCTATGAGACTGGAGCTATCTGAGGGCAGAAACAGGACCTTAATGATCACTATGGACTGAGTACCCAACACTGACCTTGGCACATAGCAGGTACATAACATATGTTGTCTGAATGAAGAATAAGAAGGTTAGGGAAGCTGGTCAAAGTATTAGATATACTCCATCCAGCAACTCCACTTCTGGGTATATATCTAAAGGAAATGAAATCACTATTCTGAAAAGATATCTGCACCCTCATGTTCATTCCAGCATTATTTACGGTGGGTGAGACACGGAAACAACCCTAAGTATCCATTAATGAATGAATGGATAAAGAAAATGTGGCATATTAAAAAGCAGTATTTAGGTATACTGGAGGGTAAAACATGTATTTTGTGAGGTATGGGTCTATTTTTATTTATTTATTTTTAAAGATTTTATTGTATTTATTTATTTGACAGAGACAGAGACAGCAAGAGCACAAGCCTGGAGGCAAGAGCCCAACGCAGGCTTAGATCCCTGGACCCTTGGATCATGACCTGAGTTGAAGGCAGCTGCTTAACCAACAGCCACTCAGGTGCCCCAGTCCGGGCCTATTTTTACAAGCATTGGGATTTCATGACCTCAGCTGAAGGCCCTAGATTTGTTGTTTTATTAAATGGTTATTACCCATTTAAAAAGTGCTTACATTTGCAGAAACTGACAAACTAATCCTAAAACTCAAATGAAAATGCAAGGGACACATAACAACTGAAATGCTCTTGAAAAAGAACAAAGATGGGGTGCCTGGGTGGCTCAGTCATTAAGTGTCTGCCTTCAGGTCAGGTCATGATCCCAGGGTCCTGGGATCAAGTTCTGCATTGGGCTCCCTGCTCAGAGGGAAGCCTGCTTCTCCCTCTCCCACTCCCCCTGCTTGTGCTCCCTCTGTCAAATAAATAAATAAAATCTTAAAAAAAAAAAGAAAGAAAGAAAGAAAGAAAGAGAAAGAACAAAGATGGTAGACTCACACTTCCTGATTTCAAAAACAAAGTTGCAGTAATAGAGATAGTGTGGCACTGACACAGGATGGATTTAATGAAGAGCAAGGAAATCGGAACTGAGAATCCAGAAAGAAACTCAAACATTTATAGCCAGTCAACTGATTTTTGACAAAGAGACCAAGAAGAATGGCTCTTCAACAAATGGTGCCAGGACAACTGGACATCCACATGCAAATGAATACATATGGACGCTGTCTCACGTCATACAAAAAAATTAACTCAAAGTAGATCAGAGGCCTTAATATAAGAACTGAGAGTATAGAAGCCTTACAAGAAAACACAAGAGTAAATTTTCATGATTTTGGTAATGATTTCTTAGCTAAGATACTGAAACAGTGATAAAATGAAGACTGGTAAACTGGACTTCATCAAAACTAAAATCTCGGGGAACCTGGGTGGCTCAGTTGGTTAAGCATCCAACTCTTTTTTAAAAAGATTTATTTATTTATTTGAGAGAGAGGGAGAGAGAGCAAGCATGGGGAGGGGGAGGAACAGAGGAAGAAGACTCCCTGCTGAGCAGGGAGCCTGATGCAGGGCTCGATCGCAGGACCCAGAGATCATGACCTGAGCTGAAGGCAGACACTTAACTGACTGAGCCACCAAGGTGCCCCAAATAAATAAAAAATCTTGAAAAAAGAAAAAAGAGAGAGAACTGAAAATTTATGTCTACACAAAATCTATACACGAATGCTGACAACAGCATGATTAATAATAGCTAAAAAGTGGAAACAACCTAAATGTCCATCAGACAAATGGATAAATGGAATATTATTCAGCCATAAACATGAATGATGTACTTATATATGCTAGATCATGGATGAACCTTAAAAATCTTTATGCCGGGACGCCTGGGTGGCTCAGTTGGTTAAGCGTCTGCCTTCGGCTCAGGTCATGATCCCAGTGTCCTGGGATGGAGTCCCACATTGGGCTCCTTGCTCAGCAGGGAACCTGCTTCTCCCTCTGCCTCTGCCTGCCTGTGCTCGCTCGCTCTCTCCCTCTGTCCCTGACAAATAAATAAATAAAATCTAAAAAAAAAAAAAAAAATCTTTATGCCAAGTGAGATCAGTCATAAAATACCAGGTCTCATTTACATAAAATGTCCAGAGACAAGAGCAGATTAGTGGCTGGAAGAGGTTGGGGGGTATGGAAGAATGGAATGAAAAATGAATGCTAATGGATACAAACAAGGTTTCTTTAGGGAGTAATGAAAATTAAATTAGGGTTATGGTTGCATGCTGTAAGTACAGAAGAAAACCACTGAACTGTATACCTCAAATGGGTAAACTTTATAGTACATAAATTGTATCTCAATAAAATTATTTTTAAAAAAGTGCTTATACTCCAATTACAAGTAACTTAAAGATTAAAGTAAAATACAAGTAAAAATACAAGTAAACTTAAAGATTAAAGATCAGAAAACTGAAAGATCTTTTTTTAGGTGTTATTTCCATATAACCATATAACCATAATTGGGGACAGACATGCTGGAGGTTGACAAAGATTTAATAGCATTTCTGTCAAAACCTTCTCGCAAATCAAAAAATTAAGTGGTCAGACTGTAGACACTAAATATGGCATCCGTTTTTGGCATATCCTACATCTCGTCTTAAAAAAGATGTGCAATGGGTTAGCAATATTGTAATGTCTTATAAAAGGAAGGTCTCCTGTGTGGAGGCTCACAAAGACTACCTACAGGGAGGAGGACAGCAGACAACCCTACAAGCTACTGTCACCTCCCCAGCTTCTCTGACCAATGAACATCTGGTTTTCCAAACGAATAAATTAACAATGAAAAAGGATTCAAGGGGCACCTGGGTGGCTCAGTGGGTTAAATCATCTGCCTTTGGCTGGGGTCATGATCCCAGGGTCCTGGGATCGAGCCCCACATCGGGCTCTCTGCTCGGCAGCAAGCCTGCTTCCCCCCACCTCTCTCTATGCCTGCCTCTGTGCCTACCTAGGATCTCTGTCAAATAAATAAATAAAATTAAAAAGAAAAAAGAAAAAGAAAAAGGATTCAACTCCTTAACTGGAACTCATATGCTATTGGTCCCAAAGGGTACAACCACTCTGGAAAACTGTCAGTTTCTTATAAAATAAACACACTTTCCAAGTGACCCAGCAGTGTCACGCCTAGGTATTTGCCCAGGTGAAATGACAACTCATGTTCACACAAAACCTCGTACACAAGCGTTCACTGCAGCTTTATTCCTAACTGCCCAAACTGGAAACTCAAATTTCCCTCAATGGGAAATAAACAAGCTGTGATACAACCAGACAACAGCATACTCTTCAGCAAGAGGAAGCAATGAAGTACTGATACACAAAACTGTAGGGATGAATCTTGAATGCACTATGCTAAATGAAAGAAGCCAGACTCAAAGTCTTCTCCTCTATGATTACATTTAGGGACATTTTGGAAAACATAAAACTATAGGGACAGAAAAAGATCAGTGGCTGCTAATGACTGAGGCTGGCCAGAGGGATGCACTATAAAAGAAATGCGAGAAATCACTGGGGTGAAGGAAATGTTCTGTATCTTGATTGTGGTGAGTCACACAACTGTGTTTGTCAAAACTCACAGGGCTGTACACACACACACACAAAAGGGTGAATTTTAGTGTAGGTTAAGTTATACCTTAATTTTTTTTTTTAAAGATTTTATTTATTTATTTGACAGAGAGAGATCACAAAGCAGGCAGAGAGGCAGACAGAGAGAGAGGAGGAAGCAGGCTCCCTGCTGAGCAGAGAGCCCGACGTGGGGCTCGATCCCAGGACCCTGAGATCATGACCCGAGCCGAAGAGAGCGGCTTAACCCACTGAGCCACCCAGGCGCCCCATAAGTTATACCTTAATTTTTAAAAACAATTTTATTTATCTATTTGACAGAGGGTGAAAAAACACAAGCAGGAGAAGTGGTAGAGGGAGAGGAAAAAGCAGGCTCCTCACTGAGCAGGAAGCCTGATGCAGGGCTTGATCCCAGAACTCTGGGATTATGACCTGAACCGAAGGCAGACACTTAACTGAATGAACCACCCAAGGGCTCCTACACCTTAATCTAAAAAAAAAAAAAAAAAAAAAAAAAAAAAAGTAAAAAAAAAATTTTTCAGTTCCCTAAAGGTCTGTACTTCTTTCATGTTGTCTATTAAATGGGAGTGGTACTGGCTGATTTTTCAACTTCTCCCCCCCTAAAATATAAATTATAGGAGGACAATGACATAAATAGGGAATATAAACAGGAAATATTCTTTACAAATTATATATATATATATATATATTTTTTTTTAAATCAATAAACTCCAAGAATCTAGATGAATATAAAGCATAAGAAGTTTATTGATAGGGTTCTTTCCATCTACTTAAAATGCTTAACTGAAACGTATGACAGACATAGAGGGCTTTGAAAGATAGTTTCAACTTGAATTCTTCTAAATAGTTCAAACTATCTAGTTCCAAAAATTATATAAGGTATCTTTTCCCTCCTTGACTGCTTTTACCTCTGCATCATCATGTATTCCCTCAAATGCTCTTCCTATTTCTTATGACTCTCCTACTTCAGAGAATTCCCAAATAAGCCTTCATGGAGACTGCTACTCTGGGAATTAAGTCATAAACTTCGCAAACCAAGCCTGTTACGGGGAACCACAACAGTAACAAACAAAAACTTGATAATGTCAATTCTATAAAATACTAAACAGAATTATGGTGAAAAAGCCACATTAGAAAAGCCACACTGGTAGAAAGGGAGAGGCAGCAGAGTGCCTGACAGGAGGACACCCTCCCTTTGTGAAATGGTCCCTCAACCAACATCCATCACCGCTCCACCATGGCCATTTTTCACAGGCCTGCCCTACAGCAATCAAGAAATAAGGAATGATCTTCAAGATAACATCCTACCAATTAAAGATGACTTTTGGTTAACACAAATGTCCTTTTAAAGCATTAAGCTTGTTCTAATTTTACCTACCTAAGTCATAGCAGACATGCCTGTAAAGAACCTAAAAATTCTGAATACCACACTAACTTGGAAGTACTGTGAATGGGACATTTACTTAGAGAAGGAAGAACAACACACCAAGGGGAGTGTGGCAGCCTTAGGTTCTCTTGCTGAACACCTCCGTGCAGGGCACCCAAATTCATTCCTCAGCAAATCTATAAATTCACACAGCCCTAACCTCTGAGGTGCCCTCATTCAGAATAAGCAAAACTGAATAGAGCAAACATTTAAAACAAAAGTAGGAAGGGTATACTAGTTTTTATCAGGAAGATCTACATCTAAAATGTGTGGGACCAGGATCTGGGGCAGAGTGAAAATTCTGCAGCTGGGGACCCCAGAGGCAATGCACCACTAAGTCTCCAAGAAATAGTAAATGACAGGTTGCCAGATGCTTTACTTTAAACCTGGCAAAGTGAGCTGAGATGCTGGCCACATGACAGTACAGCATGTACACTTGTTTAATTGAAATCCGTGGCGGTAGCCTGTGTGTTCATTTCTTTCACAGACCTGCCTTCACAGAACTTCCTTTCTGCCTTGCATGATTGGTTGGGCGGAGCCTGTTTCCTCCTGTGCAACAAAGGGACACCTTGGGTGGCTCTTTGGGGACTGAATGGATGAACACACCAGAGTCAGGCACTCTAGGTCACTGCTACTAAAAACTCTAGTAGAGCTGCTGTTTTCAAGTTCCTCCATCCTCCATATAAAATCTTTTTTTCAGGGGCGCCTGGGTGGCTCAGAGGGTTAAGCCTCTGCCTTCGGCTCAGGTCATGGTCTCAGGGTTCTGGGATCGAGCCCCGCATCGGGCTCTCTGCTCAGCGGGAAGCCTGCTTTCCCCTTTCTCACTGCCTGCCGCTCTGCCTGCTTGTGATCTATCTCTCTCTCTCTCTCTGTCAAATAAATAAATAAAATCTTTAAAAAAAAAAAAATCTTTTTTTCAAGTTCCTCCATCTAAAACTGAGAACCCTGCACATGACTTTGGGGAAAGAAAAATAAACCATTTTCCCAATTTAAGTCATTAAAGAATGGTATTAGCTCAGGAAGAAAAATGCCACAAAGCAGTTTATCTGTGAGTACTTTTCAGAAGAGCTCATCTTATCCATGTCCAATGTAGACCAGATTTTTTGGTGGACAGTAACCAGGTAAGTCTGAGAAGGCAGATTTCCTCACTGAAAAGAATTCTCTTTTCTTCTCTTATTTTTGTTTGTTTTTATTTTTTTCCCAAGATTTTTATTTATTTATTTTTTTAAGATTTTTATTTTTTTTAAGTAATCTCTACACCCAACGTGGGGATTGAACCTACAACCCCGAGATCAAGAGTTACTCTACCAACCAAGTCAGCCAGGCACCCATTTTTTTATTTTTTAATTTATTTATCTTCATTAAGTAATCTCTATGTCCAACATGGGGCTCAAACTCATGACCCTGAGATCAAGAGCTGTATGCACTACCAAATAAACCAGTCAGGCACCCCCTAATTCTGTTTAAAGGTCAGTTCAGTTGTTAAGTGAAAGTGTCGTTCAATAAACAAACGCTAAACTTGTGATAAGATATGGGTGAAAATATGCCAAATATACCAAAGACTCAATACAGCAATACTGGAGCCCTCCTGAAAAGATATTTGAGGTGGGGGGTGGGAGAGCGGCTAAAATGGTCCCAAGTAAGGCCCTAGGAACTGGGTGAGACATGTACAAAAGGACATTTCTCATCTTCAGAGTTTTAATCTATACTGGACAGCCAAGCCTTTGAGCCACAGAGGAAATCTATAGCAGCAGGAAGCAGGGTGATAAACTGGGACAAGTGCCCTTTCTCATAAGGACAATTTGTGCTTCCTTTTCTGTCTGGGCTGCCAAGAAGCAGGGAGTCAAATATGATGTTTTATCATAGTAACAAAATGATCATATAATTAAACATACTTGCTATATTTTCCTTTTTTTGTGGTTTTGATTACTCCGTATTTTTAACTTTAATTGCATAATACATACACAGAGTCCTCTCTAAAGTTACATATGATTATTTTCAGCCTGGGGAGAAAATCTTGGCTCAGCACTCTCTTTCTTTGGGTCTCAGCTTTCTCCTCCATCAATCAATCTAAAGGTGGTATCTCAGATGCCTATATCTATTCATTATTTTGAGGAGCAATACAAAGCAATGGAAATGAAAATGCTTTGACGGTTTTCAAGGTGACCTGGAGTGAACACTTTCTCCCATCCCTGCCCAGGGGAACAGGAACAGGATGCACTCCACAGTGCTGAACTGGACTGGGTCAATTCCTACCCATTCATGTTAACCTTTCCGAACAGGTAGTTTAGTTTTATAAAATCAAAGATTTCACATCAATAGGGGTTCATTATATAAAAGGGGGAAGCTTGGGGCTGCCTGGGTGGCTCAGTGGGTTAAGCCTCTGCCTTCAGCTCAGGTCCTGATCTCAGGGTCCTGGGATCAAGTCCCACATCAGGCTCTCTGCTAGGCAGGGAGCCTGCCTCCTCCTCCTCTCTCTCTCTTTCTCTACTTGTGATCTCTCTCTCTGTCAAATAAATAAAATCTTTAAAAAAAATAAAATAAAATAAAAAATAAAAGGGGGAAGCAAACTATTGTCAAAACTAAGGCTCTGCTTGGTTCTGCTTGGTGGCTATCTGGCTCAATTGGAAGAGCATGTGACTCTTGATCTCAGGGTCATGAGTTCAAGCCCCACACTGGGGGTAGAGTTTACTTAGAAACAAAAACAAAAGACGGGTGCCTGCGTGGCTCAGTTGGTTAAGTGTCTACCTTCAGTTCAGATCATGATCCCAGGGTCCTGGAATCCAGTTCCACACTGGGCCCCCTGTTCAGAGGGGAATCTGCTTTGCCCTCTGTCTTTCCTCTTCCCCATGCTTGCTTGCGTGCTCTCTCTCTCAAATAAATAAATAAAATCTTTTTTTAAAAAGTTGAAAAAATTAAACCAAAAACCAAAAAACCACAAGAAAACCTCAGGCACTGCTCAATAATATTAAGTGTCTTTAAGTATGTAGGTGGACAAGATCAAGAATTTCTACAGTTAAGTCCATCTTGCAAGGCAGGGACTTGCATTCCCAATGCGAAATAGAAACCGTGAACTAAAACAGTGTGTGTAATAAGTAGAAAAAGGAAGACTGGAGAAAAATAAATACCTTTACTTCTCAGACAGTCTTCAGGGAGGCCCGTGCATAAACATTCTTTGCTTGACTGCATCAGGAGGTCTTCCTGGAGGAAGAAAATCCAGTGGTCAGGGAGGATTCAGAAATACCTGAACTCATGAATGCAAATTACCATCCGAGAAACCTTTTTTTTTTTTAAAGATTATTTATTTATTTATTTGACAGAGAGAGAGAACAAGTAGATGGAGAGGCAGGCAGAGAGAGAGAGAGAGGGAAGCAGGCTCCCTGCTGAGCAGAGAGCCCGATGTGGGACTCGATCCCAGGACTCTGAGATCATGACCTGAGCCGAAGGCAGCGGCTTAACCCACTGAGCCACCGAGGCGCCCCCATCTGAGAAACTTCTTTATGACTCCTGGAAATTTGCTAGCAGCCACAAGGATTGGCAACTGAAGGAAACCTCAAATTTAAAGAAATAAAATCAATAAAAACTGCTCTTCTCTAGAATCTGAGCTTGAAAAGCCAAGTTTCCCAAGGTCTGGACAATAACAGAGGCTTAAAATGCTGACCCTATTAAACACCTTCTGAGTCAAGAAACACATTGCTGCAACGTAACCTTAATTTCATCCATTTACATCCAAAGTGGATGTATCTCAATCCTCAACCACTCTAGAGATCATGTATGCATTTTCTTTCCAAACTTCTTAGAAGGGCTATTTTTTCTTTTCACCTCCCTTCACTGGAGGAAGAACATGCAAAGAAGAATACCATCAATGACAACCAGTTTTCTCCCACAGAACAAATTCAGAAAAATGGAAGGGGTCAGTGACAGCAGAACTTGCAAAAGTATTCCACATTAAGAAAATGAAAAAATAGTCCTTCATATAAGAAAGTCCATGCTGTCAATTTCAGTGGTAATGTGCATGTCATGGCAGCAAATGGCCTCAAGCCCCATGAAGGAAAGTTTACCAGCTAGGAGATGCTGAAAGAACGAAGATCGCTGCTTATGCTAAGCTCTCCTTCTGAGTCACCTCTCTTAACCTACCCCAAGATTTAAGTTTTTTTTTTTCATACTGATTTAATTGCTAAGTGCAAGATACTGACATGGTAAGCATCTAAATCCATGGAGAGTGGTATCATTACTATAACTTGATAATTTTTATAGCACTTCAAACAAACTCAAAACTAGCAAAAGCCATTTGTACCCTAAGCAAAGTTCTCTCGTGGAAACAGAACCAAGGATGGAGAGGGAAGATAAAAGCAGGGGCAAGAACCGGTGGAGACAGGTGGAAATAAAACATTACCACTGAAATTGACAGCATGGACTTTCTTATATGAAGGACTATTTTTTCATTTTCTTAATGTGGAATACTTTTGCAAGACATGAACTTAAAAACAAGTATCTCCCAGATAATTTACAGTAACACTACCATGTTTGACAAAGTATGAGTTCTAGCATGATGCCAGACTGAACTTATTTGCAAAGGAGGAGAAGAGAAAGTTCTTACTTACTGTAAAAGGAATCATGGAATTAGAAAATCACTACTGGGCGACCATCACAGTAATAATAATCTCAACCAACAATCATCAATGGATGTTAAAACTAGTGGCTAAAAGTTTGAATGAGAAACAGAAATATTTACATAGCCTCAAAGTATCTTTCCATGAGATAACTAATAATTTCATAAGGGAAAATAGTAACTGCAGTGGAGAAAGCTGGCAGCCCCCACCTGAACCAAGTGATAGACTTGACCTCCCAGGAATGAAGCAACCCAAAGCCATGTGCCTCCTAAGAGGATGGACCAATAAGAACCAGCATCACTTCTGTGGGATTCCTGCTGCCAAAATGCATAATCAGAATCTAATCATGAAAAATCCAGACAAATCCAAATAGAGGGAAATTCTACAAGATAAATGGCCTGTATTCTTCAAAAGTGTCAAGGTCATGGGCTGAGAAACTGTTATGCATTACAGGAGGTTAAAGAGACACTCCAACTGAATGCTACAAGTGACCCTAGATTTTTCCTAGAGCAAACAAACAAACAAACAAACAAAAAACCATTTTCTTTTGCTTCAAAAGACATCAGTGCAACAACTGGCCAAACTTGAATATAGTCTGTAGATTAAATAAAAATACATAGATCAGTGCTAACTACTTGATTTTGACTAAGGTACTGTGTGATCATGTATCACAATGTCTTTTTTTGCTAGGAAATACGCACTGAAATATTTAGGCATCATGTCTGCAACTATACTCCCAAATTATTCAGGGGAAAAAAAAAAACAAAAGTGGAAAAATGTTAACATGTGAGGAATTTGCATGAAGGGTATATGGGAATTCTTTGTACTGTTTGTGCAACTTTTCTGTAAGTCTCAAATTATTTCAGAATAAGAAGTTATAGAAACATCTTTATTTGTAGTTACATTTGCTTCTTTTTCCAAAATGGTATTTGTCTTGCTGTTCCAGTTCTCAGGCTGAATGTTTGGAATGTGACATGAGATGTTATTTAGAATTATTTTTTCAGGGCACCTGGGTGGCTCAGTGGGTTAAGCCGCTGCCTTCGGCTCAGGTCATGATCTCAGGGTCCTGGGATCGAGTCCCGCATCGGGCTCTCTGCTCAGCGGGGAGCCTGCTTCCCTCTCTCTCTCTCTTGCTGCCTGCCTCTCCGTCTACCTGTGATCTCTCTCTGTCAAATAAATAAATAAAATCTAAAAAAAAAAAAAAAAAAAAATTATTTTTTCAGGTTAATACTTTATGGAAAAGGCAGAATGTTGGAGTAAGATTATGGGATGAGGAGTTAGAGAGGGCTCTGTTCCAACCTCAGGACTCCTACCTACTAGCACTAAGAACAAGCTTGTACAATTAACCATACTGACTCCTGCTCCTGGAGGGGCTCCTGGAATTTTAGTTTTGCTCCACCTGCTGCTCTAAGGTTCTTAGCTGGAGGACTCAAAATACCCTGGTGGAGTGCCAAGCCAACTGCTTCAGCCATGTCCCCTTCTTCTTGGTTAGTTATGATTTGTAACAGGGAAGGAGAGAAGCAGAAGCTAAGAGGAAGTGACTCCCCTCTCCCTTTGCCTTGCTGACTTCTCTTAAAAGGTTCTGAGTTAAGAAGACCCTATAAAGTCTGAAGTCTCAAATATGATCAGAAGTTGACTGGGTTGAAAAGAAAACAGAGTGTGAGGCTAAGGTCAGATGTGAGATGCCTCCTACCCCCAACAACCACCACCACAGTGGTGGGTCATCTCCATATCAGATGGGAACTCTACCAAGTATACTCAAGCGCGGCTGACACAACAGAAGAGCCCACCTGCAAGCAGTACGCATGGAGCATAACGATCCTGTCATTCTCCCAACCCCATCACGGTCAGCTAGTCATATAATAAACACTTGCAGAAATTTATCAATTCCTTTTCCTATAATATTTTATGGGCTAAATGTTCTAACGTTCAGGATTTTTAGAGGTGGAGTCTAAACATTTTCTCTTCCACCTAGATTCTGCAAGATCTGTTTTGAATGAATCAAATTCTAAGATGAAAGTTCACATGGTTCCTTCCCTCTGCTATAGTTTATAATATGCTGTTAGCTGTACAGAGTAAGAATTGCCACAGTACAGTACCAATTCATTTTTCAAATCGACAGTAAACATTCTTTGCCTTGCATATCCAATATACCATGCTCCTGCCAAATGCTTAGAATCAAAATCAACTTTTGATACTTCAAAGTTGTGGCAGATTAGAAAGGTCTTGAAAAACCATTCTTACTGCTCATCTGTGATCTTATTTCCCATTAAAAGTTGTATGTCCTGGAAAGGATGCAATTCTCTGATTCATTCCTGTGAGACTAGTTTAGAGTAAGAGAACAACACAAATGTTTCAAAGAAGAAAATGAATATAAATCAGATTCTTCAGCTTTTTACACATGGTAAGTTACAAGCTCTTCAGGGCCTGATTTATCTCTGAGCTATGAGCCCCGCTTGTAACCAGACTCCACTGAGCTCTTCTAAACCTGAGCTTCCTGAGCTGGAGGCAGAGCCAGATGAGTAAGGACGGTCAGTGACCACCCCATCTTCAGATGGGACTGTCTGTACACTGAAGTGTGCAATGACAGGGCAACAATATGGAGCAAATGAGATTCTTCCTACTACCTGACCTTTGTGGAAACAGCCATGATTATGTTCATACTGAAGAATACTTTGAAAATAAAAGAAACTTTTGTATCTCTAGGTGGATCTTTGAGTTTCCTGTCTCTTGCATATTTAGAAAGGAACAGCTGTTGAACAGTAACTGTAAATCATCCTTACAGAGCTTAAAAAGGAATTTTCCTTCATGTATTTCAATTCAGGGAAACAACTGGTGACTTTAAATAAGGCACTGATCATCTTAGCTGGGAGAGGCATTTGATAATAATCCCCCCACCCAACAACTGTCTGAGAACTCTTCTAATAATTAGGAGAAAGTTCTACCTTAGTCTCAGCTATATGCCCTTTGTGTTTAGGGCAATTTTCTGTCACTTTTAACATCATAAGATATCAGAGGGCAAACCATCACTGTGGGGACAAGAGTGCCCTGGCAGACCTGGAGAACAGGTTATAGCCACCAGCTTTACTAGTAACAGCATGAAGTTCAGACTTTTTTCACCTTTAAATCACCAAAAGTGAATTCTTTCCACCAAGATATCCTTTCAAGCAAATAGCAAGCTCCTACACTCAACCGCAAACTTCGTGTAGGATCACAGACTCTTAGAGTAAGAGCTAAATAAGCTTAATGGGCATTTACTTCGGTGGGCTTTCATTTAAGCGAAGTCACACAAATTGCACAAGTTTGGGTTTGATGAACATGCCATTAAAAAACAAGTTTCTTGGGGCACGTGGGTGGCTCAGTGGGTTAAGTCTCTGCCTTTGGCTCAGGTCATGATCCCGAGGTCCTGGGATCAAGCCCCACATCGGGCTCTCTGCTCAGTGGAGACCTGCTTCCCCCTCTCTCTCTGCCTGCCTCTCTGCCTGCTTGTGATCTCTCTCTGTCAAATATGTAAATAAAATCTTAAAAAAAAAAAAAAAAGTTTCTCCAACAGCATAACATGGTTCAAGTGATCAACAGCCATTGTGC